TTTACCTCACATCCTGGTGAAACAGTACAGAGCGCCTCTGCGTTTCACCTTCCTGACAGAAGGATAGTGGATTGGTTTTGTGGCTGGAGGATTCTGCGTTCTCACACTCTGTCTTGCTTTCTGCTCGTCCTCCACAGGTTTTGTTTCCACTCTTTTCGAAAAATGAATCCTCTCCCTTCTTATTCATCTGTTCCCTCTCTCCCATTTCTGTAGACATGACAAGGGATTCTTCCGCCCCCTCGGAAGGTTTCGCATCCTTTGTTGTTACTTTTCCCCTCACTCTAATACGTGCTGTGTGTGTGCAACAGTAACACACATGCATTCTTGCTGCAAGCGCATGGCAAACCTGGCCTGTAGCTGCTGCTCTGATCTCACTGTTTGAACCCTCATCCAAGAGGAAAGAAACAAAGAAAAAAGGGCAGATAGAAGAAACCCTCTTTCCCTTGGCTCCTTTGAAAGGCCTCTCCCATCATACCACACACACACATACACACACTGTGATTATTCATTGAGCAAATGGCAGCCCACCAGAGAGCAGCTCCTACAAAGAAACCCAGACAATGCAACCTGAGACACTGCTAAGCTCAGCCTACCGTAATTAACTATCTGCCTTGTTCCTGCCTGCTGGCTTCGTCCCTCACACTCATTTGGCTTCCATTTATCCATGTAAACAAATAAAACACATTTCTTTTGCACTTTCTTAAGAAGCTACATTGCACAGAGCTTCAGATATTTCCAAGCAAGGCCCATCGCCAACACATTAGCGAAAGCTTTATTCAGTATTGCTGAGCTGAAGCGCCTGTTGTTCTATCTTTAATTTCTTCTCTGGCACACTGACTCTCTTAAACACACATTCGATTTCACTGCCTTCATCTCCCGTCTTTGAGTATAAGAACTGTTGTGCGTGACAGTCTAGGTGTCGGTGAGACTCATAGCGGAGTTCAGCTAATCTCTGAGGGACAGGGTGGTGAGGTAGACATTAAGTCTGACCTTTAACCCCTTAATCTAATGTCTTGGGCTCCTCACGTTCCCCAGGCCCACAGCTGACAACATTCGACCTGTCTGAAAGGCTTTCTTCACAATGCATCCAGGCTTGTCCTATGGAGAGCACTTAGTGAACTGAATCCAGTCTTCTCCTTTAACCTGCCACCACTAGCCCAAACCATGACCTTTTCATGCTACACCAACTGGAAGCAAGTGACAGAACCTTCCTAGAAACCAGTTGGAGGTTGTGGCTGATAATTTGTACATGGTAGGTTCTTTTGACTGGTCCAAGTTGGTCATAAGCTGGTCAAAGCTTTGTTAGTTGGTTGACAAGATGTGCACTGACTGGACTTGGTCAAGATTAGACCAGTGGCTCCCTGGTTCCATAAACTACCTGAATTACCTTAAACTGGTGTGACCTGTTTTTGTTTCTGAATAGAATAGCCAAAGGAAGCTATAATAAGATGCAAGTTTTTAAAGATAATCCGATACACCTTTTGTGGTTGCTGCAATCCAGAGAAGCACAATTTATTTTCTTTTTCACTCAGTCCAGACGCATTGAGTCCGAATTTTTCTCCCTTCTGAAGTGGACTGAGCTCTGGAATCAAGTGACAGAACCTTGCTGGAAATTTTTAGCTTAAACAAATTTAAGTTGGTGGTTGGGACTTTGAACTGGTCCTGGTTGGCCATAAGCTGGTCAAAGCTTTGTTAGGTGGTTGACTAGCCTGACTACCAGCTGGTGTGACCTGACTGGACTTGGTCAAGATTTGACTAGCAACAAACCAGCTGCCATGTCCTATAAACTAGCTTAACTACCTTAAACTGGTGTGACTTCTCAGCAGGGCCCTCGACCAAGATGTTTTACCAGCTCACCAGCTTGCAGTCCAGTTGGTCAACCAGGTAAACAAGCCTGGACCAACTAGAAACCACCTACGGTGTTCCAAAAACCAACTACTGCTTCAAGCCAGTTTTATCTGGATTTTCAGGCAGGCAAAAATGCAGGCTTCTTGAACCTTCAGAATTTCTCATTGCAAGTCTACATCATCCATTCTGCAGTTGTCCTCACCGTTGTGACCCAGAACAGATACGTGTAGAAGGTGACCTTTGTTCCTTTGTACCTCCGTGGTGAAGACTGAGAACACACTGTTTTCTTCACCTCTGCTTATCCCAGCTGGGAAATCTTTGTGTCATTTTGGGATGTGCATCAGGTTAGAAGTGCGGCGATGATGTCATAACACATAGTCCCTTTGTTTCCGCTCCTGCCTGGGATTTAGTGGGGCTGGCCAAGGCCATTGCTTGACTTACTTGGACTTGTTAAATAATGGTAGGTGATCTGTTTCATTTCAAATAATTATTCGGAATCTTCTGACAAAAGGGTCAGTTGAAGTGGATTCCAAATGACCAATCTGGGTTGGTGTACTATTAAAGCTTAAGGCCGGGAACTGTAAAGTTGCTAGTTCAAACTCTATACAGAGCACCCTTGTTCAAGGTACTTATCCAGGTACTCCCGCAGTTGTCCCCTGTATGTCCATGCTGTGTTCTACTGTATGTAATGCAAATTTATTCTAGACTGTTTTGTGTCCTAATTCTGGCTCCTTGGTTGCATAAATTAATGTCTTACATTATAATAGACCACCAGACACAGCCATTCTGGAACTTTCTCACTGACATTCGCATTTCTAATGGATCAAAACAGTCTGGAAAGTTCTTTGGTCCGTCTGAACTCCCAGAACAATTGCTTGGCTCTGAATAGAACAGCCAAAGGAAGCTATATTAAGATGCAAGCTTTTACAGATATCAGCTACGCATTTTGTACCTTTTGTACTTGCTGCGATCCAGAGAAGCACAATTTATTTTCTTTTTCACTCAGTCCAGACGCATTCAGTCAGATTTTTTCTCTCTTTTGAAGTGGACTGAGCTCTGTGGCGAGTCTAGATGCACGTCTCTTATCTCATTTGTACATGAGAAAGATAAATTTTGGGGTTCCTGACAAGACTTTACTTTCACCACAAAGCATAGCAGCGAAGAAAGACACTGTGAGAGACGGAGAGGAGCCTGAAGATATGACTGCTGTTGTCCCTTTTGCACACGTCTGTGTCTCTATCCATTATTCCACTCTCGAGTCCAAGATATTATTTGCTTCTGCGTCTTTCTCTCTCTCTCAGCATAAACACAGTTTTTCACACTTCCTTTGTGAAGGAAAGCAGTTTATAGCAACAAAGCAATAGATTTAGGCAACACAATTTTGAGTCAAAGTGATCGTTGGCGATGCAACAAAGTTGAGTAACTTTATGCAATGAGCAGCAATGCAATGTGATTACTACCAATTTGATCAGACTTCTATCACTGTAGTCGAGTAGGAGTTTCTACTTGTACAAAACCAACAGTAAAACTTTTTGACAACCTTTGACAAAAATTTATTTCCACTACCAAAGCCCCAATGGGTTTCATGGGTGCGGTCTAATGTTACCTTGGGACACATCAACTCAAAGTTGCTTCCCAAGATTCACACTTTTTATATCAATCCTCTTTTCTACCTTCTCTCTCTATACTCAAAGTTCTGACTGAACATTATTATCTCGGTCTAATCAAGTTTTTATGCAATCATGCAGAATTTTCCCTCAGGGATCAATAATGGATGGATCTTTCTTTGACATGGTGTGAAACTCTTTGCACCCGTCATGCTGAAAAGACACAAAGCACATCCTGACTTTACCTGCAATCATGAGTCTGTCCTCCACAACATGTCAACCTTGTCCATATTTCACTATTATTTATGTCCTCTCTTTCTTTTCACCCACTCTTTTATTTCCGCATGGGTGATTATGAGTGTGTTATGCCCTGATTAGAATTAGTGAGTGCACTTTGTGCTCCGCTCTACAGAGTGAGAAATCACTCCCTCAGTGAGAATAATTGAGCCCAGGCCCGGTTGCCAGTTCATTACCCACAAATCATAGCAGGCTGGGGCAACTAAGCAGGAGACAATAATGACTTTGGGGAATTTGGAACCTCACTGTGGTGAAAACTGCTGTTACACTAAGGGCACATCCGAGGTGGGGAACTCCGAATGTGGCGGAGGCGTATGAAAGGTACGAGGGAAGTCAAGATGTGGGGTTATGCTACTTAAATGCTTATATTAGGTCTGTCAGAGGTGATGTAAATGACTATGCAACAAACTGTGAATGAAAGTAAAACCAGGCAATTTCTCAGATGGAGGGTCCTCACAAATAGACTGGACTTGATCCAAGCTCGTTTGTTGATGGAAACAGCCATGCTTGAAAAGCACTAACATCCATCAAAGGTTTCGCATTTATAACAGACAACTTGCTTTAAAAGACAATTTTTGGCATTAAGTGGCGTCCCCCTTTCTTGCTCTCTCTCTCCAGCCAAGCGATCCACACCTGGACGCAATTAAATACCCAGAAAACGAGGGTAATTTAGGGAAGACCTGTCACAGTTTACGCAAATAGCGAGTGGTCTTTCAAAAATTCACACATTTTTTGAAATTCAAGAGGACTGTATTCTTCCACACCTATTAGACTAAATGCTCTAGCACCATTTATTTCGATGACAGCTATGCACTGAGGTGGAAGATAGACTTTGGAGACTGTCAGTATCCGATTTCCCAGCCTTCCTGAATAATTAAGTCCTATTTATGTGATTTTTTTTTAAATGTATTTTTTGCTGTTTCTACTCTTCGTTCCAGTTCATAATGCGAGTGTCTCCTTTGCTTCAAGTCATTTGTCACAAATGAGTCCACTCCACAGTGTCCGTGTCCATCGTACCAACAGGCGGCTCTCGTTCTTTTATTGCTTCCATTAGAGCGTAATGCTTTTAAGTTGCCATAGGAATATGGCCAACTGTAAACAGCTCTACTTCAGTGAATGGAGGCCAGGAGGAGTCCTTCTGCCCATTTAGAGAAAAGAGAAAAGCATTTGATTTGCATGAGTGGCGAAGAAAAGCAGAAGGAGCCGTTTCTGAATGCAGGTCTGCGGTGGCCATCTATGAATTGACAGGAAGGAGTGAAATGCAGATGCAGGCTGAGTGGAAGGTCTATCTTCTTATTTCTTTCTGTGGGAAATTAAATCACTCACAAATTGATCTCTGCAGGATGAGGACCGCGTGGTGGGCTTACTTGTTTCCATAGAGCGGGGAGTCCCTCAGTTCCATAACCTGGCTGTCCACAGGTGAAGCGTAATGAATGCAGGGATGAATATGCATCAGTAGATGCTGTTCAGAAGTAAATACGTCACATGCTGTTATTTTCGATGAAGACTTCGTTCCCACCAGTATGAGGCCTTTGCCAGTGTTCAGTACTATGAAATTATTGAAAGAAAATATCGTTGGCATATTTAGAATTAAGAATCATTAGACACAATTAAAAGACTATTTAAGGATCACAGTGCGGCCCCCAAAATACTAATTGCCATTTTAATTATTTGCCAATTTTTGCTACTGTCTTTTAAACAGCTAGGTTTTACCCATTTATCAGCAAGACATATTTGACAGTGTATCTTCCAGGGAACATAAATGGAAATGTTAGGAATAACATCCGTATAAAAAAATTGCAAGCATCTGATGACTTTGCGTGAGGAACAGACCGGAAACTACATCAAACGTGACATGACTTACCTTGTTCGTAAAACAGTTGTTTTGTTTTGTCATTTATAGTGTTATAATTTATTTTAACACACATTAACAGTCATTTACTACTCATTTTTTCCCAGTTTGTGTAGATTTAATAGTCCTTCATGGAGTTTCACTTTAAGGCCGACTTCTTTTTGGACTGCTTTTAACCTTCTGTGGTGCTTTGAGTTATTGCTTTCTGCTTCATATGAATTCCGGTGCGCTTCAAAGACTTTTCCCCATTCTCTCCTAGTGGAACAGACTCTAGAGTGGGAGGATGTCTTGGATGGTTGCACCTTTGAACCTGACTGATGCGTTTGTGATTGGTCTAAAAATACAGCAGGTAGCCCAGGCTGTCAATATATCAGGGATCCGTCTCACAGCAGAACGAGAGCGGAAAGAGTATCAGCCGTGTTTATTCTATAAAACAAAAAGCTTATTGCAAACACGCTGACGTGCTTCTCCGCTCCCCGCTTTCCTGTGTTTGTTCTAGCCTTCATTCAAATTTCTGCTGGAATGCTGGATGTGTTACTTTTGGCATATGGGCTTTTCAAGTGGGAATAGCAAGTGTGGATTTGTATTGTCTTGAAATATAAAAGCTGTCCCATTTCAATTTTTGGCCCGGCTTCACAATGTAGCCAAAGAACTTGGTGCTTACAAGATTCTTCCTATGAAGTGTTGACACTCGAATTGAGCAGATTTTCTGTACAGACCAAGCGGCGCAGGAAGGGCCTTATCCTGTCGTGAACCGGGGTGCAAACATTTGGATAAGAAGGTTAGCAGTATCATGGCGTTTTTGTAAGAGGAGGGAACGCCGTTGGCATGACTTCCCAGTTCCCACACAAATTGAAACAATACTGAAAGAATAGCAGTTATCCTTGCTGAGTTTTGCCAAAATATGTCAGGAAATGCAGCAAATGCTAATGTTCATTGACCTTTTTGTCTTGCAGTCTAAACACAGAAATGGGCTGAAGGAAATCTTATGAGTTTAAACGAAAACGGATTGTATTGAGCTCGGTAATTGAGCTGTTTTGGCCATTTACACAAAGGAATTAATATCCATGTTCCCTTGCTGTCATTCATTGGATTCAGACGCTGCCAGCTGTACATTCCCATCAATTAACTTGTCCCACTGAGTCCAGGAAACACGCACATCCAACAGCCTCTTCTGATCCCACTTCCAGAGCTCCAGAAGAAAGCAATAGACTGTAGACCACACACGAACCCTTCAGCTTTAGATTATAATGCAACGGACTGCATAAGGCTGCAAACAATTAAACTAATCAATTACATTGTGTTGATCGGCCAAAATTAGGTTCATCAAGCTTAATTTGTTCAAAATGATTCAAAGGACAGTATGAAGCACCTTAATTCAGAAACCGATTAAATGGATAGTTCACTCCCAAAGGAAAAAAAAAAAAATATTATTAAAAAATATCTAATATTATTAAATATTAGCAATATTATCACCAAATCTTGAAATTAATCTTCTTGTCATCTTGTTATCTTTCAATTAGCACAGGTTTTGTATTTCTTTTTGGAATCGTTTGATCACAGGCCTCATTGATTTGAGCTCATGCACCTCATCCCCCCCCCCCACATTAAGTGCTAATGCTAATGCTAATTGAAAGAAAACAAGTTGATAAAATGCCTGAATCCAATATTTGGTGAAAATATAGCATAGCGAGAAATTTAAAAGCAATTTTTCTTTGTAGGCCGGTCATTTTTTGACTGGGAACACTGTGTCCTAATCATACACCATGCGATAAGATTCAAGTCAAATCAATCAAAAATCACAGCCAATCAGAAGAGTGTGTGGGCGGAGTCTCTCTGCAAACACACTGCACTCGCAACGAAATGGATAAGCACCTAATCTAATTCATAAATATTAAATCATTTTAATATTGTTAAAAGTGCATACTGAGTGACTGATACCATCTTTGTCATGTAATACACTTGTCTGTTCACATTGAGTTCACAGTTCTAACATTCATGTTTTCTTATTTTCAAAATCTGAGGTTAATATTTCATTCTGGCTTTCAGTATGGCTATAAAGCTCACGCAAAAACGATATTCAAACTCACATTAGACACTGAATAAAGCACATAATCTGTATCTGAGATTATATTGTCATAGTTTGTATACTGTTGTTCCAGCTGCCTAGAAAGAAAAAAAAAAATCATCAAATTTTTTTGTATCCGAAGTTTTTATATCCTGTATGAGCAAAGTCAGTAAGTTTTAGTCCAATCCAATAACATTAACTAGCATTTTCAGGAAAAGGAAAATCCTCTCCAGGTCAAAATGACCAGAACACAACATGAAGTTTAAATCATCTGCCTGAGCAAAATTGGCTGATTTTACATCACCATTGAGATGTATGTGAATGCTAATGTCCAGCTCTCTCCAGGTGTTATATACCTCTTTAAAAAGAACTGATGTGTTTCAGTGAATCAGAAATCACTCTCTGGAGTTCTCATGAAATTGCCGTTCTGTTTCCACTTTATCTCACAATCTCTGCTAATGTCTTTATGAGCTCAGGTTTTTGTTGCTTTTTGTAATCACACATATGCTCAGTGACCTTCATGGCTTAGAGCCAGATTAATAGCTCCATACGGAGTTAGTGGGACGATCCTCCCTCTTAATCACCTCTAAATTATGATTAATCATGGAAAAGCAGTCATGAGTGTACGAGATGTGCAGCTCAAGGCAGGGGAATGTACTTCAGTCTAACTTTTGTCACATGGGTTTAGTCTTACTGTACCATAGTGTGACCATGATTTTTTGACATGGTGATAATGCAATGCTGTTTTCTACCGTACCTCTACCATGAATAAAACATGATATGTTAGAAATGCTAGTTAAATAACATACTACATGGATGAAAATGTAAAATGATTGTAAATAGTTGAAATTTAATATAAATTATTAATACATTAAATAATTTTTAGAATATAAAAATATTTATTAAATATTTAATTAATTATATTTGTATAATGTTATTAATATCATCATCATCATCATCAATTATTTCAACATTAATTGTTTAAAATCAATTATTCTTAAGAAATGTTACTAATGCAGGGAGAGACATGAATGGCAAAAATGGGGGGGTGGGGGGCACTATATTTAATAATTACTAATATCAGTCAATATTGTGAATATTGTGGTTGTGCTTATGGTCTTGTGATGTTGTTGTCACTATATCATTGGACAAAGAGAACAACTCTTGGCTAAACCAGCAAATCACTTCAAAAGTGGCCCCAGACAAAAGCAGGCAGTGATAACTTGATTTTCAATAATTCATGCGCTCTTAAACCGCTGTGTGGGATATGAGAAAGTATTCCTGCCTGTGGTTATTGATGAAGGCATGCCAGTTAAAGGCACTGCCTGCTCTAGGTTTTATTATTGACTAAATGATTGATTTAAACCCTCATAATTAGCCGACATAATTTAATATAAGTGCAATTTAACGATACTGCAGCCCTACCGAAGCGTGCCATGGCATTGATAGATATGCCTGTGCGTGTATGAAATCACAACTGACAGATGATGTATTCAGTACAGATGCGTTTCGGTGACTGAGCGGGAGAGCGAGAGAGAGAGGGACATTGACATTTGTCCCGTGTCCCACTGCGGGTCACTCTGGCGAACTTCTGCTCTTTTTGATCTAGACAAATATGAATTAGCTCACATATCTGATTTAATTTACTTAATAGCATTAAGAACCTGTTTGCCTTTAATTTGCGCAAAGTAATCCTCAACCGAGCCAAACTTTAATGCACCATTAGCGGTGTCTTAAAAAAACAAAGGGGAGACAGGTTTAAAGGCGCTGGTGTCTTTGTTGATTTAAGCGATGGGAAATAAGAGCTGAAATGCAGTGGCGGAAATAAAACTTTGCTCATTAGATTACAGGATGCCAGGTTTCAACTGCTGCCCGATTTGTTTATGAGCATTCAGATATGCTGTTTGCCAAGTCTAGCAGCTCTGTTTCTGTGGCTCATATTTTGGTGTTTAGTCATGTTTTGTTTTGCTTTTTTTGTGTGTATTTTGTTTGTGTTTTTGTTTTGTTGTGTTGTGTTTATATATATATATATATATATATATATATTTCTCTATGCTATATCTTCATCTACCCAGAGTACATATTTGAAACCCATGTATGTACAGTATGTGAAAATTATATCGCCTTATACGGCCATACCACTCTTGATATAGAGCAATATTTATATCATATATTACATTTCCGTATGGGTATGCTAGTTCTATGCAATGCAAGCTCTTTATGAGCCTTTCAGCACTGTACAAAACTGCTGAAAACAGAAAAAACAATAGATAAAAAAAAATAATAATAAAAGGGGGAACACAGCGTATTTCAAGTGCCGAGCTTGTTTTGTCT